GGAAGATGAGGTAGAGTAGCATTGTAGAAGTACTAAATTAAATTTAGGCTTTTTGAAGAGGGTGAAAGACCAAAGGAACTTTCTGAAACAAATATTCTTCTGCCTGATTAAGCACTGACAAAGTCACCCTAAAGGACTTGATTGCAGTTGTAGTGTCAAACAAATGACAAAGTTCAGGTGTCTGTGAAGCAGAAGTATCTTTATTCATATGAAAATGGAAGTCTGGCTTGCAACCACCAGACTTAAGTAGCTGAAGAGGGTCCTTTATACCTTAAAACACAAAGAGTTACTATGACATAATCTAAACAAGTGATTAAACAGCAACACCTGCCAATTAATTATATCTAAGTTGCAGACTAGACAAGTTAATTATTTTAATGTTCTGGGTGTACAGCCAGCTTACCAAATACATGCCCCTTATCTTACTGACCAAGGACAGGCAGCATCTTTATATATATTTGAGCCCAAAGCCTGTCAAGCCCCTAGACTGCATAGTTTGCAAAAACACAAATTATATTATCTCACTTCCCGGGCGTATCTTATCTTCCTCAAAGTGGTCAGTGAAACAAATATGAAGCACCAGTAGAAATTATGAAAGTACCTTAAGAAAATGGAACATTTGCCATCTTTATTCTTAGTGGATTAGGATGACAAGGAACAGATGAGCTGGCTGCATTGGTGCGACTGCTCATTCTGCTAAAGGGCCCATTTTTATACCAGTAAATCTATTTTTTTCTTGTTTAGTGAATGCAAACTCCCTGAGTCCTGCAATAGCAGCTGATCCAGCTGTCATTAGGGTGTGCAGTCCTGGGCTGGGTCTCAGTGGGGATAGGGTAGACTTTCAAAAATGAGTGGAAAACAGCTGCAGCAAAATTCAAGCAAGTACTAGTGAAGCATTTTCCTTGTTATGTTTATTAATAGACAGCTGAGTAGTTTAATGGACTGGTAAGGGAGTTTTAATACACCCTTGATGGAGAGGACTGGATGGTGGTGCTACAACACCCTGATAAGAGTTGGTATGAACTGGTTTCCAGGGACCATTGGGCTGGGGGGGGAATGTACTATCTCTGCAGTTCAAGAAGGGGACACCAAGTTCAACATTCCCATGGCCTGGGGTTGCTATGGAGCAATAAATGCCCAGCCATCTACATTGGGGAAACAGGAAGGAGACTTGGAGACCGCTTCAGAGAACATAATTTAATAATTGCTTACACTTATATAGCGCTTTTCTGGACACTCCACTCAAAGCGCTTTACAGGTAATGGGGATCCCCTCCACCACCACCCAGTGTGCAGCCCCACCTGGATGATGCGACGGCAGCCATAGTGCGCCAGAACGCTCCCCACACATCAGCTCTCAGTGGGGAGGAGAGCAGAGTGTTGTAGCCAGTTCATAGATGGGGATTATTAGGAGGCCATGATTGGTAAGGGCCAATGGGAAATTTGGCCAGGACGCCGGTGTTACACCCCTACTCTTTTAGAGAAACATATCAGGGCTGTGAAGATTAAAGATCTCTCCAAGCCTATTGTTTCTCATTTCACCTCTGATGGCCATTATCACACTGATTTCCAACCCCAAGGACACTGTACATCATGAATAAAGAAAAAGACAAGAAAAGTACAATAAAAGCAAATGAAGAAAAAAAACAAGAACACTGACATTGACTGTAGGCAATCGAACGTAGGCCTTGGTAAAAAGGTCAATTTTAATTTTAGATTTAAAGAGAGTTAAAAAAGCTGTCTCTCATCTGAGGAGATCATTCCACAACACTTGGAGCAGGGACAGAGAAGGCTTGGTCACCGAAGCTCCGTGGTTTAGTCCTGGGGACAGTGAGCAGAGGACCAGCCTCACCTGACCGGAGTGTAAACATGGAGGAGTTCAGAGATGAATGATGGAGCCAGATGGTTTAGAGTCTTGAAAGTCAGTAACAAGATCTTTGATAAATATATGACTTTAAATATCCTGCCAGGGTGTGGTGTGACTGGGAAGTCTAGCTGCAGAGTTTTGAACATGTTGCAAGATGTTGAGAAGAGGGTTTGGGAGCCCGTAGAGTAAAGACTTGCAGAAATCAAGCCTTGATGATCAGGCTCTCGGCATCGGACACTGATTGAAATTGCCTAATGTGGGCTATATTTCTAAGGTGAAAGAAAGATGTCCTGAACAAGTTTTTCACAAGAGCCTCGAAAGACAGTAGAGGATCAACTGTGACTTCCAGATTCCTGACTGTGGCTGACACATGAATGGAGAAGCCATCAGCCATGACTGTGAGAATTTATCCAGCTGAGATTTGCTGCCAGTAACATTTCAGTTTTGTCACTATTTTGCTTCAGGGAATTTGATGTCGACCAGAGTTTGATGTCACGCATACAAGAGACAAGTGAAGGAGGGGGGAGACCAGAGGGGGAAGAGGTTTTAACACAACTCTGAGTATCAGCTGCAGAACAGTGAAACTGAAGACCATGTTTGCATATAATCTGGCCATTATGGAGCATATCAATAATAAAAAAGTCAGTACCGCTCATAGACAAGAAAGCTTACAAGCGATTTAGCAACACGAAATGAATTACTGTATCAAAAGCAACACTAAGATCAAACAACAAAAGGATACTTATAGCCCCTGAGTCAGAGGCAATAAGTAAATTGTTCACAACTCTGACAAACGCAGTCTGTGTTATGATTTGAGCAGAAGCCAGACTCCAATGACTCGAACAAGTCATTAGCTAGTATATAGTATGTGCCTGTAGCTGATGTGCAACAACATGTTCTAAAACATTCAATAGATTAGAGATTGGTCTGTAGTTCATCATTACTTCTGAGTCCAAGCAAGGTTTCTTCAATATAAGAGTGATAGATGCCCTCTTTAAGGCAGTAGGGAACACACCCAGGGAAAGGGATGTTGATGAGGTTGAAAATTAACGGGCAGATGTCTGGGAGACAAGCTTTCAGTAGAGAGGTAGGGATGGGATCTAGGCAACAGGAAGCTCTTTTATAGGTGGTTATTTTTTTAACTTGATGGGAGTTAACTAAGGTAAACTGGAAGAACTGGGCTGAGGCTTGATTCAGATCATTGTAGTTGTATAGCATCAATCTTTGATTGAAACAATTGCATAGATTTAAGAGAGAGGTCAGGGGTGGCAGAGAAAGCAGAGTTGTCAGGGGGTTTCGTGAAACAAAGAGGAGTTTATGATGTCCTAGTCCTAAGCTAATTGTATCAGGGATGTAGGAGCTGGAGCAACTCTGTGTAATAAAGCATTCTTTCAGGACCCTATGCAGACAACACAATCTAGGGTAGAGTGAGGAAACACAGGGAAAAAGGCATGCAGGAGTCAGGAATGAAAACAGGGGGCACGTCCATGGTGTACTGGTGTTTGGGGGGAGGTGTGACCAAGGCAAACAATCCAGAAATAAGTCCTAGGGGGAGTCCAAGAGTAGGCAAAAAGCCAAAACCAGGCAGCCCCTCCAAGACAAACAGAATAAAAACAAGAAACAGGAACTTTCAGGTCCCAGCCTCACCTGGTACAGAAACCAATACAAAGCCCAGACTAGAGTGAGCGCCTGGCTTTTAAGGAGAACTGAAAAGGGGGTTGGAACAGGGAGCAGGTGAGGGGGATGAGTAGAAAACAAGGAAGGGCTGGAGCGTCCTTAAGAGAAGGGGTTACGAACGTGACAATCTGTTGACTTGCAGGTGTTCATTATGAGCCTGAGTGTGAAGCACAGGGCCAGATGGTTCCAGACACCATCCAGCTAGTTTCAGATTGTGTATACCATGGGGAGGAGCACTTGAAGAAAACTGAGCGAGTTTATCCAAAGTACTATTCATCACACTGTTTAGATCATTGACTAGGTCAATTCCTGTAGACGACCAGTTTTGTAAAAGGGGAATACTAAGCACAGCATTCGAGAAATCAGAGTGGTTCAGAGATTTCAGATTTCCAAAATGAATTTGTGCATTTTCATCTCACTGATGAAAGAGGGATACAGACATTAAATAATACAGCTTTGCGATCAGAAATATGTAGGTCAATGTCATGAATATTGCAAATTGTAGAGGCATTCTGCAAACAAGCGCAAACAAGATCAAGGGGCTCACCACAGACACGGGTGGGAAATTTCACCAACTGAGAGAGATCAAAGCAGTCCAGGGTTCACAAAAAATCCAAAACTGATCAGCCACCCCCACCTGAAAGTGCATTTAACGTCTGGTGCTTGCTATGTATCTTTGAGCTCGAATTGTATTGTGGAACTCCCATTGTGCACACATTGTGAATAAAGGAGGAAAATAAATCTCACAACTGTGGTCTGCTTCATTTGGGCTGTCCTGACATTGTGCCTACACATTTAAAGACAGCCCAATTGATAGTCAAGAATGTCTGCAAGCTTCAGAGCAGCATGAAAATATAAACTGTGTCAAAAGCCATATTAAAATCAAGGATTATAAGAATATGTACAGTATGGCTTCCAAGTCAGATGCAACTATCAACTCATTCACATGTAGCAGTGGTTACTAATGCTGGTTCTGGAAGGATAATGTGTCTGCAGGTTTTTATCCCAGATGAACTCTTAACATAAATCAGTTCCTCCGTATCTTAAATGGACTTTGTTAACAGCTTCCATTTCTGAAGACACCTAGAAAACCAATGGGCACTGTACATTGACCCTTCAGGATGAGGACTGGAACTAAATGTCAAGCATTTAGTTTTATTAAAACTATTTTAGCCCACATTTAACACAAGAGGGGCTTTAATGTTGTTTTGAAGTTAGTGCTACTGGACAGAAATCATTTTATTCATTAGGGGTATTTTTTTAGCTATAGGTATAATTACAGAAGTTTTCCACAAACTCAGAACTTTAAATGTGCCCAGTGATTCAGTCTTCTGCAATTGAAATAATTCAATTAGCAGCTCGTTATAGTTCAATTCAACACCTGGTTAGACAGGTGTGTGTAGGAGCTGAAGCCCAGCAGTCTTAAGTATATAAAGGCCACTGCTGGGGGTTGTATTACTGTATGTGTGAGATTGGTGAGATCACTCATTAAAGATGGAAGTGAGAGGCTGTGTGTTGTGTTTGCTTGTGGGATGCCTTCTAGGTAAGGTTTGGATGTTGCTTTAATTAAATTCAAAGCAGTAGTGTAAGGGCTGCTAGAGGTGGAATAACTGTGTGTTGCTAATTGGATCTTGAGTATAGGTGTTTGCTTAAGTAATGCTTTAAGTACTGTTTGTATTAAATTAATGTCTTGAATGCTGTGAAGTTCTGCAAGAACTTGTTTATACTCCCCTATGTGTAACAACTTTTGTTCACTTTAGCTGATGCACTAATGTTGGCTTGTTTCTCCTGCCCTGTGTCTTGATTAGTCACTTAATGTGTCAAATGCAAATGATTCTATGTTGCCTAAACCCTAGCCTGATTCCACCTGATCTTGCTGGTGATCATTGACCCAGTGGTATCCTCTCTTCCCCAGTGTCTGTGGCTGGAGCCCTGCAGTGTCGGGCTGTGCCTGGCAGTCTGAAGCAGATAGATGCTGGTGCTGGAAGGGTGTGTGGAGTCGACAATGCAGACAACCTGGTCA